GTCCTGGCGTTATATCTTTATGTTTTTAAAAGCTGAATATTTGTGTTGGTCTCAACTGAAAATGAAACAAGGAAACCAAATTCAGTAAACACCCCTTAACCACAGCACCATGCTGTCAACAAGAAAGTGCCTAAATATTACTCTCCTCTTCCCCTCCTCTTCCTCCAAAGTTAACTTGTCCTTAAAGTCCCAAACCCCTGCTGATTCCAGCAACCAGGAAGACTTAATTGACCTGGTATCAAAGCCTGAGCTCCAGTCTATCAGGTAATAGTCCTGCCATAATATACAGTTATCGTTTTTCAGTTAATGGCCCTGCTTTAATAGAAAAAGAATAGACAGACAGACAGACAGACAGACAGACCAGACAGACACAGAACAGACAGACAGACAGCAACAACAAAGTAGCAACAAACTAACACTAATAGTAGGACGTGATTGATGAACATGAAGAAGAATGACGGACGACTACAGCAACGATGGGGGGGAACAGTAAAACTGTATAAATCAAAATGAAATAATATCCTTATCTTAATCAATAATAAGTAAACCAAATAACTATCAGTAATATTACGGCAAATCGGTCAGTCACCGGCAGGACCCATTGGCCAGGAGGCTCCACCCAAAGCGAATCCATCGTAAGAACCTGCTGAGACGAGAAAGCCACCAAACCGAACTCCCCGGGGAAGAAGTGAAAAATTAGCAACATGCATTAATGGGGAACAGGAATGAGATGCAGAAAGAGAGAGAGAGGAAGAGAGGAGCTCAGTTGCACCATAGGGAAATCCCCCGATAGTCTAGGCCTATAAGCAGCATAATAAGGGATGGTTCAGGAACTCCACTGGATCCCCAGCCCCTAACTATAAGCTTTATCAAAGGGAAACGTCTTAGGAGCCTCCTCTTAAAATGTGGGTGAGGGTGTCTGCCCTCCTGAACCCACACTGGAAGCTGGTTCCACAGGAGAGGAGCTTGGTAACTGAAAAGGCTCTGGCTCCTGGTTCCTACTTTTAGAGACTATGGAACACAAGTAGCCCAGCATTTCAGAGAACGCAGTATCATAACTCCAGGACCACCTCCCCTGAAACCCTGTGATACTGCTTTAAAATGAAACATTCCTGCCCTCAATCCTCCTAACACCATCACACACTGAGAGAATACAAATTGTTTCCACACGTACTAACAGTTCATGTGTGACCACACCCATGGCTCACTTGCAGCATTCTCTTGTTAGCTTCCTTATGGCATTTCGAACTAACACTGCCGCAACACAAAAACACTGACCACCTACCTATAATAAACCTGAGACACTCAATCATGAAGCCCTGCATCTGTTAATAAAAAAGTCCGAAAAATAGAGTAATTTTTCCTACTGGTAAA